CCTATATAGTTTAAGTTTAAAAAATTTGGCTCTCAAAAGAAATTTCAGTCGTTGTACTGTTGATATTTGGCTCTGTTGACTAATGAGTTTGCCGACCACTGAGCTAGGGGATTGCCCTGTGGGGCTGGAACTCAGGCGTTTTCCAGAGAACTGGCTGGTTGGTGCTGCAGTGACTCCGAGGCAGGCGCAGTGGTGAGTGTTGAGAAAACAGCAAACTAACTTTAGGTGTTGCTATGGAAAGCCAGGGAGACCTGCAGCAGGTGGTTTTTTGGCAATGTATCAACTTATCCCCATATCTGGAGCTGCTGTATGAAGAAGTGTTACTGGGGTGATCATCCTGGGACCCCATAGCGTACAGGAAGCCCTGATTAAACAGAAGGAAACACATAGGAAGAAACAAGAACCTCCTTCCTCCTCCAGCTTTGTCGTTTCCCTCTGTCACCCTCTAGTGGCAGAACCTGACATGGAGCAGCTGGCAAAGCTCTCACAGGGTTTGCAGAGCACCGTGGAGGCATCACAAAGCTGAGTATGGAGGGCCGGTGTGGAGCTGCGAGATAATAACTTAACAACTGGCATCAAGAGGAACTTATTCTGAAACCCACAGCTTCCCAAATAGCCATCGTTAAGCCAGCCGAACCTGCCCACACGGTTCTTTCCTTTCAGTCCCTACATTTCATTGTTTCTTCATGAGTTTTGGAGTCCGAGTTGGAGTCATATGTTAGTTTTTACTTATGAGCTGTGTGACTGTAAGCAAACTATTTAACTTCACTTATCTGTCTACCTATTTACTTAATAAAAACTCCTGATTGAGATATGATTGACATACAAAAAGCTGTATATATTTAATATATATAATTTGATGAGTTTGGGGATAAGTACACATGCATGAAACCATCACTACAATCAAAGCCATAAACATACCTGTCACTTCCAAATTTTCTTCCTGCCCTCTTTTTGGTGATAAGGACACTTAATATCTATCCTTTTAGCAAATATTTAAGTATACTACAATATTGTATTGTTAATCTTAGACACTATGATGTACAGTAGATCCCTAAGACTTACTCACCTCTCTACTCTCTGCTTCTATGTTTGACTATTTCAGATTCCTTATATAAGTGGGATGGTGTAGTATTTGCTCTTCTGTGTCTGGCTTATTTAACTTAGGATAATGTCCTCTAGGTTCATCCATGTTGCTACAAGTGGCATGATTTCCTTCTTTTTTAATGTTGACTAATATGGCACTGTGTGTAAATACTACGTTTTCTTTATCTGTTGATGGATATTTAGGTTGCTTTCATGTCTTGGGTATTGTGAATAATGTTGCAATGAACACGGGAGTGCAGATATCTCTTTGAAACCCTGATTTCAATTCATTGAACCTCCTTTAGACTTAATTTACTCATTGACAAAAATATCTATTTCACAGGACTGATGTAAGTATTAAATGCAGTTAGGTCCATATGAAGTTTACTTAGCTTGTGGTACAGCATATGACATTAAACAAGGGAAGGAAAAAAGAGAAGAAAATAACCAGGAAAATATACATAGAAAAATATTCATAGTTTCTGTAATCCTTTTTCTTTTTCTCATTGGTTACAAGGCTATAATTAATACTTAAACTCTCTTCTCCCACTACCTATTTCATGTTTTCTTCACCCTCAGCCAGGACCTCAGCTGGCTGGGGTTCTTTACTGCTGGTGTGATTTAAATCTTTTCTTGAGAGATCTGAGTTCACAGTGGTACTGACTTTTTCAGGTTATCAGTAAGTGGGTTAAAGTAGTATATGTTGAAGAAGCGTCAGGGTGAAGAGGAAGTGGGAGCACCATGTTCCTTTTTTCCTTTTATCAATAAAGGAAATTCACAGCTGACTTCTGTTTAGATTTCATAGGCCAGGGCCATATCTCTCTATTTCTATCATTTATTTTTTAAATTCATAAGCTTATATATAGTATTATACTACAGGCATCTGCAGGGAATAGCAGGCATGACATGTTGGCAACTTTTATTGTCTCTATAGTTTTGCCCTTTTCAGAATGTCATACAGTTGGAATCATATAGTATGAAGTCTTTTCAGATTGGCTTCTTACATTAAACAATAGGCATTTAAGATTCCTCCATACCCATTTGTGGTTTGAGAAATCATTTCTCTTTATCACAGAATAGTGATATCTATCGAATAGATATACCAAAGTTTGCTTATCCATTCACCTATGGAGGGACATTTTGGTGGCTACCAATTTTTGGCAATTACAAATAAAGGTTCTATAAACATTCATTTGCAGGTTTTTGCATGGACATAAGCTTTTAACTTATTAGGGTTGAAATACTGAGGAGCACAATCGTTGCACTGTACACTAAGTCTACGTTTTGTAAGAAACAACCCAACTGTCTTCCAGAGTGGCTGTACCATTTTGCCTTTCCACCAGCAATGAGTGAGAGTTCCTGTTGCTCCACCAACATTTTGCTACCTTTTGGTGTTCTCATTGCTTTGGTGTGTAGGTTGGCCTTTTTTTTAAAAAAAATTCTTTTTGTTCAGCTGTGGTGGCTCTTCTGGCTGGTGGGGGGAGGCTTCAAGTACAGCTGCTTTCCAGGGGAGCTCTGCCCTTCCCGGCTGCAAACCGTCTCACCAGCTGAGTAAGTTCGCCAATTCGGGGTGGGTGTTATTAGTTTCAGCTGCTTACTCCGTTTGCTCCGGGACAAGACCTGGGACGCGTCTGCCTATATCGCCGCCATCTTGCTTCTCCCCTAAATCTTTTCTTGAGAGATCTGAGTTCACAGTGGTACTGACTTTTTCAGGTTATCAGTAAGTGGGTTAAAGTAGTATATGTTGAAGAAGCGTCAGGGTGAAGAGGAAGTGGGAGCACCAGCAATGCGTGTTCCTTTTATCAATAAAGGAAATTCACAGCTGACTTCTGTTTAGATTTCATAGGCCAGGGCCATATCTCTCTATTTCTATCATTTATTTTTTAAATTCATAAGCTTATATATAGTATTATACTACAGGCATCTGCAGGGAATAGCAGGCATGACATGTTGGCAACTTTTATTGTCTCTATAGTTTTGCCCTTTTCAGAATGTCATACAGTTGGAATCATATAGTATGAAGTCTTTTCAGATTGGCTTCTTACATTAAACAATAGGCATTTAAGATTCCTCCATACCCATTTGTGGTTTGAGAAATCATTTCTCTTTATCACAGAATAGTGATATCTATCGAATAGATATACCAAAGTTTGCTTATCCATTCACCTATGGAGGGACATTTTGGTGGCTACCAATTTTTGGCAATTACAAATAAAGGTTCTATAAACATTCATTTGCAGGTTTTTGCATGGACATAAGCTTTTAACTTATTAGGGTTGAAATACTGAGGAGCACAATCGTTGCACTGTACACTAAGTCTACGTTTTGTAAGAAACAACCCAACTGTCTTCCAGAGTGGCTGTACCATTTTGCCTTTCCACCAGCAATGAGTGAGAGTTCCTGTTGCTCCACCAACATTTTGCTACCTTTTGGTGTTCTCATTGCTTTGGTGTGTAGGTTGGCCTTTTTTTTAAAAAAAATTCTTTTTGTTCCATTTAGAATGACCTCAAGGCCCTCTTCAAAGATCACCTCCCTTGGGAAGTCTTCCCTAATGCTGCCCCCAGCGTAGCCCTTGCTGGTCCTGAAGTGATGCTACTTTCCACAGCAGGGTCCACCCAAAGCCTCTCCACAGTTTCTGAAGGTTCCTGGGGCATTACTTTCCTGCCATTCCCCTCGCTCTGTCTAGCTCCTGGGCTGTCATTCCCTTGAATCAACCCAGACATGAAACTCAGCTCCTTACATAGGACAATTGACCACCCACAGATTGTGTGAGTGTGACAGCTTAATGTGGAGGGATCACAGAGTAATATTCATGGCCTCTCTTTCTTCTTTTCTCTCCTCCCTTTCTGCAATAGGAAATATTTCTCTTTGTCTCATGTGTAATGTTTAATGCCCTTTTCTTAAGCTTTTGGGATTGCCAACATGCATATCCCATGTGGATGAACCTATTTTAAGTTGAACTGTTGAGGCATCTTGGTCACAAAAGCATCTATCCCTAAGGTAGAGGGAGTTTTTTTTTTTCTATGAACTGCTAAGAAAATATAGTTTTTCTCATCACACTGTATGTAGCTATTTTCACACATTCTTTTTCTTTCTGGATAGTAAGGCCCTCCAGGATAAGAATTAATTTTTCATCTTTCTGATTTCCATAATCACTTCATTGAAGTGGTGGTCAATACATTTTTATTGAATGAGTACACTACATATGACTTCAGTCTCTTTTTAAAAAGAAACAAGTGTATTTCTTACAAGTGGACATTCTTGAACTATAAGCAGTTATGTACAAGTGGAGACACTGACCATGATTTCTTTGCCCAGTATATAACATTTATTAAGAAATGACAGAAGACACTGTATCACAGGTATAATTAAAATAGCCAACAGGAAAGATCGTTATGATCCCCCCAAAAGGGGTGGAATCAGATTTTGAAATATGGGAAAGTCTTCTTAGAAGCTGAATGTTGGGTGAAGAGCTTCCATTCTCTCTGGTGACATCTGAGGAATGTCGCTTGGCTATACTTTGGTGCCTTTAATGTTGAAAATTTTTTTTAGGTAAATAGAAGCTAAAAATAGATCACAAAGCAGGGGAAAAATAGACTTGTGGACAGCTCTCAAGGATAAAATCCACAATATGGCAGCAATTTTCAACCCTGCGGGAAAATCGGGAATAGTGGATCCAAAGCAATTTGATGGTCAGCGGGTGGGCTCACAGCACTTCTGCGTCCGCAGTGGAGAGTCAAGGTATTCATTGTAGAGTGGAATCTGATAGAACTCATCGACTTGATAGCCCCCATAAGAGCCCATAACAGAAACCCAAATAGAAGTCTGAGAACTCGTTAGTGGCCCACGGGTTGTTGAGGAGACATTATTCAGATAGTGTGTCCTGGGCAGTTAAAAATCAGCAAGTTGGCTTTTTAGCAGGTGGGCTCGCAGCAGTAGCAGCAGCAGGCTGGGCGGCAGCAGGACTGTCCACAGTAGGATGGGCGGCAGCAGGCGGCCTGGGCATGGTGCAGCTGGCAGCAGGTTGGGGGTGTGCAGCTCACCACACAGCAGGGGGGCAGGCAGGTGTCCTCCACGCGGCAGTCAGGGCGGCACCACCTGGTGCGGCAGCTCACACCTCCACAGCCACAATCCTGGCCACAGCCAGTGCCACAGCCGGTCCCACAGCAGCTGGTCTGGCAGCAGGTTGGCTGGCAGCAGCTGGGGCCACAGGTCCCACAGGAGCAGCTGGGAAATCCACAGAAGCTAGTTTGACAGCAGGCCATGGTGTCAGGAGTTGGGTTGCTTGGAGGTTTGGTGGTGACTGCTATGTTGGGCCTTTTATATATTCTGACCAGCTGGTATTTATACAGTTTTTAACATATCTTCCTTGTTTTTGTTTAAATTTGCTCCTCAGTGGGCCTCTGATTGGCTTACACATAAATACTTATGACACATTATGAGCAGCAGTTTAGAAATTACTTTGTTTTATAGTTTATTTGGACTCCTCGGATCGGTCTTTTGCTCTTTGGAATAGGTTTGTGGTTTTCAGAGTCCTCCTATTTTTGTCCATGTCAACACACGTGCTTTATAGAGGTATTTATTCCACGTGACACTCTGTCCAGACCTCTAGGGCTAAGGATAATTGTGCTCCTTTAAAAAAAAAACTATTATTTTTTTTGCCTCTGGATGTATAGACTAAATTCTCTTGAATTTAGGACATCAGGACAACCACTGAGTTGAAAGCATGCCTTCTGCCATGCATAATTTAGTTTCCAAGTAATTTACTCCCAACATCAAGTCAGATTCCCATTATAGTTCCTTTTCACCAATTTGAAATGTGCAAATATTATTTGTGTTTCAGGCCAAAAATCTTCTCGTGTGAACCAAATGACATAGTATATATAAAAGTGTCTGGTGGAGTGCTTACCCACTGGTAGTATCTCAATGTCTGTTGAATATGATTTTGAATGGGAGGAGTAAAAGGCATGATTCATGGGTGCCTGTACCACTTAATGATTGAATAGAACTTTCAAGCTTAGTACCTCTCATGAAGGAGTCCTTGTTATTGTCAAAGGAGACAAGGAAATGCTGAAAATTTTTTTTGCATTTGATAGTTGAACCAAGGCTCAGGAAAAGCATCTGGGAGTTATGACATTTTGAAGAATATACTGCCACTTACTTTATTCTGCTACTAATTAAATGGTAGAGGTAAGTGCTTGGAGCTTGTAAATAATTTGGAAAAGATGGCTTAAAGTGTCTGATATTTTGTCATGTTGTATTTTGTATGCTGCACTCAAATTACTTAAAACTTAATTGGTAAAAGGTATTTTGGGTCTAGATTTGTGCTAACTTCTTAAGAGAACATCTTTCAAATTGGATTGCAAAGTGCAAAATATATAGTTGTTTCATTTTTCTGATACATGTGTCTGACATGTCGTGCTGGTGGAACTCAGTGGCTATCTACATAGCTGTTTATTCTAATTTCGTTCAAACCAGTGATGCACCTTATACATACTTATAATGGAGGGGAGTGTTGGGAGTTGAAGCGTATAGATCAATTTGAGGGTCAGTGGGAAGAATATATTAGGGTAAGGCATAGGAATTAAAACCTAAATGCTCTTGGAAAATAGTGTCTGATAGCATCTGGTAGATACTTTCAAATCTATTTAGTTGGGATTACAATTTCTTTAGCTATTAGGCATACATGAAGGAGAACATCTAGTAGATTAAAGGGAAGGAGATTAAAAGTCGTAGAAGTACATCTAGGTAGAAATCCCATAGCTTTGATCAACCTGAACATTTTAGTTAAAAGTGGCCTTATTAGTTTAGACCTAACCATAATAGATTTGGAGCATGTACGTTTTTGGATAACTGCAAGTATTATTTAATGCATGGAACATCTCATTAACTGATGGGTGAAAGCATAATATAACTTGTATTTTTCTGGTTTAGACTTTTTGTTTATGCCTTAGGATTATTATCAAACTGCAAATCCACTTCTCTTGAATTTCAGCTGAAGGTGGACAAGCTAAATGATGGAAGAAAATGACTCAGTTTGCTTAGCACAAGTAAACATTTTATTTTAAATTAACAGCGTATTGAAGGAGAAAGCAGGTCTGAAAATGTGTGGGGATCACGAAATAGGGAGGAGGACAGAGCTGTCATTGATCTGACACTGGTTAATACATGTTTTCAGTGGGAAAATTCAGCACACTCAAGAGGGGCCTAAGACTTGTGATTTCTGAGCGGCTTAGAAACATCTCGATACATAGCATCCAAGTAAAGTTGAACACTTCTTTAGAGATCAAGGCAGTTTTCCTGAGTTGCTCCTTTCATTCTTAGGTAATCAGCAACCTTCCTTTTAGCAGGTGGGCTCACAGCAGTAGCAGCAGCAGGCTGGGCGGCAGCAGGACTGTCCACAGTAGGATGGGCGGCAGCAGGCGGCCTGGGCATGGTGCAGCTGGCAGCAGGTTGGGGGTGTGCAGCTCACCACACAGCAGGGGGGCAGGCAGGTGTCCTCCACGCGGCAGTCAGGGCGGCACCACCTGGTGCGGCAGCTCACACCTCCACAGCCACAATCCTGGCCACAGCCAGTGCCACAGCCGGTCCCACAGCAGCTGGTCTGGCAGCAGGTTGGCTGGCAGCAGCTGGTCTGGCAGCAGGTCGGCTGGCAGCAGCTGGGGCCACAGGTCCCACAGGAGCAGCTGGGAAATCCACAGAAGCTAGTTTGACAGCAGGCCATGGTGTCAGGAGTTGGGTTGAGAGGTGTGTTGTTTAGAGAAGTTTCTGAGTTTTGGTTGCACCTTCTACATCTGGCCTTTTATATAGTCCCCAGAGACACCTATTTTCCTAATGTTTAGCATCTTTCCTTGAAACTATTTGCAAAGTCAGTCTCTGATTGGCTAGTACCTGAGTTGTTTAGAAAGTTATAAATAGCATTTCAATAGCCTGCTTTGGTCATTTCTCAATTAAGTCTCATTACATTTCTTCTTTGCCCTGTGGGGCAAGTGAAGACTCATTGTGGGAGCCAATCATGGCAGCTCCTCTTAGTGTTAGTCACATGAGGGACCAAACTTGAGCCATCCACTGCCCTGGCTTGCTTTGTCAAATCTGTCTTTTGATAACTTTCAAGCAGAGTCTATCTAAATGAACATTTTCTTTGTAGGTGGTCACTCAATTAGGTTCATGATTCATAAACACGTTGTCTAGACTTGAATAACTAACATTAGTGTCATCAAGACATGAGCAGTCACTTGGTTCATCAGTATCCAAAAGAAGTATGCCTTTCTGTGATCAGAGTGTGCAAGTTACAGGATCCTCAGAGCTCTAGCGGGCATTTGTCTTCATCGTCAATGTACATATTCCCAACTGAGACCCTAATGACTTTAGCTTGTAGATTGTTTTCTGACTGTACTCAATTAAGAATATATGCCAGTAATGAACACACACTTTAACAAGTCAAGCAGTACCAAAAGTTAATATTTTCCCTCCCTATCCCAAAATACACACATCCCTTCCAAAAGTAGTATTCCAGGAGATAATGTTAAGTTTGGTACCTGTTCTTCAATACCTTTCTTTCTGTTTTTGTAAACATGAAGCAGCATCTATGCACATTGATCTTCTAATTTAGTAGTCAGGGTCTCCTATACTTCTTATTTTTTAAAATATATTTTTATTGATTTCAGAGAGGAAGGGAGAGGGAGAGAGAGATAGAAACATCAATGATGAGAGAGAATCATTGTTTGGCTGCCTCCTGCACGCCCCCTATTGGGGATTGAGCCCGCCCTTGACCGGAATCGAACCTGGGACCCTTTGGTCTACAGGCTGACGTTCTATGCACTGAGCCAAAACAGCTAGGGCTATACTATTTTTTAAACAACTTAATTGTAAAATACACATGAAATTTATCATTTTAACCATTTTTAAGAGTACAGCTCACTAGTGTTATGTAAATTCACATTGTGAATTCTTTTTATCTTGCAAAACAGAAATTCTATATCCATTAAACAACTTTCTCCTTCTCTCCTCCCCAAACCCTTGGCAACCACCATTCTACTTTGTGTCTTGATGAATTTGACCACTCTTGTTACCTCATACAAGTAAGATCATCCAGTATTTGTCTGTTTTGTGACTTGCTTATATTCTCAAGAGTCATCCATGTTGTAGAATGTGTCAGAACGTCCTTTTTAAAATTTTATTGTTGACACTATTACAGATGTCCCCTATTCACTCACCCCTGTTTTGCCTGTCTCCACCCAGCCCCTCCCGACTCCTCCTTCTGGCCTTCACCACACTATTGTCTGTGTCCATGAGCTATGCCTATATGTTCTTTGGCTAACCTTTTCACCTTCTTTCATCCAGTCTCCCCTCTCCCACCCCTCTGACATCTGTAATATCCATTGCATGTATATACCTCAGTTTTTTTAATCCATCCATCAACGGACACTTGGGTTGCTTCCACCTTTGGCTATATGATTAATACTCTTTTGGTTTGCAAACTGGCCCGCATACACAAAGGGCAAGGAGAAACCAAAGAAAGAGCAGACCATTCCATATTAATAGGTGGCAGATTTAAGAAGCAACAAATAACATACGCTGGCAAAGATGTCGAGAAAAGGGAATACTAGTACACTGCTGGTGGGAATGCAGATTGGTGCATCCACTATGGAAAGCAGTATGAAATTTACTCAAAAATTAAAAATGGAGCTATCATTTGACCCAGTGGTCCCAATTCTAGGAATATATCCTAAAAAGCCAGAAACACCAATCAGAAAGAATATATGCACTCCCATGTTCATAGCAGTGTTATTTACAATAGCTAAGGTCTGAAAACAGCCCAAGTGTCCATCAGTAGATGAGTGGATAAAAAAGCTGTAGTACATTTAACGGAATACCATGCAGCTGTAAAAAAGGATTTCTTACCCTTTGCAACAGCATGGAGGGATCTGGAGAATAATATGCTAAGTGAAATAAGCCAGTCAGAGAAAGACAAATATCATATGATTTCACAAGTGGAATCTAATAAATATAATAAACTGATGAACAAAATAGGTCCAGAGACAGGGAGGCATGGAACAGACTGACATGTCCCAGAGGGGAGGGCGGGGGGAGACAGGAATTGATTAACCAAAGAACTCATATACATATACGCATAACCAAAGGACACAGACAATAGTGTGGTGAATGCCTGGGGTGGGGCAGGGGCTGGGAGAAGGTGGGTAAAGTGGGGATAATTGGGGGACCTCTGTAATACTCTCAACAATAAAATAAAATTTTATTAAAAACACGTCATCTTTCACCATTGAGTATGATGTTGGTGTGGGCTTTTCATATATGACTTTTATTATGCAGAGATAGTTTCCTTCTGTTCTTAGTTTGTTGAGTTGTTTTTTTTTAATCATGAAAGACTTAAATTTCATCAAATGTTTTCTCTGCATCTATTGAGATAAGCATGTGTTTCCCCCCTTCATTCTGCTATGTGATGTATTGGATTGAATGATTTTTATATGTTGAAAATCTACTTGGTCATGGTGTATATCCTTTAATGTGCTTTTGAATTCTGTTAGATAGTATTTTGTCAAGGGATATTGCATCAATATTAATCAGGGATATTGGTCTGTAATTTTCTTTTCTTACAGTGTCTGTCTGACTTTGGTATAGGGTAATGCTGGCTTCATAGAATGAGTTTGGAAGTGTTTCCCCTTCTTTCATTTTCTTTAAGTGTTTGGTAGAATTCATCAATAAAGCCATCTGATACTGGGATTTTCTCTTTTAGGAGGTTGTTTATTACTGATTCAGTCTCCTTCTTAGCGATAACTCTGTTCAGATTTCTATATTTCCATGATTCAGTTTCGATAGAAATTACCCATTTCATCCAGATTATCCAACTTGTTGACCTATCCTGTACATACTATTATTGCTTTTAAATAGCTATGTGGTATTCCTGAGTATGATCACACCACACTCTCTTCAGTCATCCCCTACTGATAAAATCTCAATTGTTTTTAGTTTGTGCTTTTTGAATTTTAAAAAATTCATAGAATTTTAAGCTGAAAGTAACTTTAAACAAGTCCAGAGTTAGGTGATTAGAGATGGTCACATGATGTAGGGAACTGAACTCTTAACTGAGAAATTAATTCAACCAAAGAGGCTTCTCAAACTGGTTCTACCATTAAGTGACTGAACCTCAGAAAAGTCACTTAGTCCCTCTGAGCATTGGTTTGTTCATCTGTAAGATGAGATGCTTTCTCAGACACCTTCAGGGTGAAAATTGTGCTATTGCTCCACCAGATCATTGGTTCCTTAAGGGCATGATCTGCCCATGTCTGGTTCGCCTTGGTTTCCTAGATAGTACCTTCTGCACCATCTGCATGTCCATGCTCTGTATGCACTTGCTGAATTAAAGAGGGAATGAATGATGAGCAGTGTATGGTAATGATAAACGTCCAAATTTGCCTCCTACCAAAGTCACTTGTCTGTTTGTTTGTTTGTTTATTTATTTATTTGTTTGTTTATTGTCTTCCTTTCTGGAAGGGGTGTTTTCTGGATTGGATTAGGTTTCTAGGTGCTGCGTCAGGGTAAGTGATTCTTTGCTTACATGTTATTCTTTATTCATGCTTTCTAGTTACTTGATTTTTATTAGCCTATAAATGAATAAAGCATTGGAATTTTAACCAAAGTAACATTCTTTATTTTTTATCCTCACCCGAGGCTATGTTTATTAATTTTAGATAGAGAGGAGGGGAGAGAGAGAGAGAGAGAGGGAGGGAGGGAGAGAAAGAGGAAGAAACATCATTTGGTACCTCCCATATGCAACCCGATGGGCAATTGAACCTGCAGCCTAGGTATGTGCCCTGATTGGGAATTGAACTTGAAACCTCTTGGTGTACAGGACAACATTCCAACCAACTGAGCCACCCAGTCAGGGCCAAAGTAATATCTATACTAATAAAAGGGTAATAAAAGGGTAATTAGACTGGATAGACTGGACATCCTTCCCGACAAAGCCACAGTGGTTGTGAGGGCTGAGGAGGGCCGGCACAGCCGCAGCGGCTGGCAGTGGCAGCAGCAGCAGCAGCGGGGTGATGGGGGCGGCACCTTCCCTTGATTGGCTGGGTCACCTCCCACAGAGGGAGGCCAGACTGCCGCTTAGACCCGCTCCCCACGGGGAGCGGGCCTAAGCTGTCAGTAGGACATCCCCTGAGGGCTCCCGGACTGTGAGAGGGGGTAGACTGGGCTGAGGGACACCCCACCTCCAGGGCACGAATTTTTGTGCATCAGGCCTCTAGTTCTTAATAAAAAAGAATACCTTCAGTCTCATCCAGTTCTAATCCCAAGAAACCATGAATTAATCCTGATCCTTTCCCAAAAATTTGTGAAATATTCTGCGATACTTGTGTTTAAATTCATTGTATATATGTATTATATATAAATGCATGTATGTGTATAATACATATGTATTTTTGTTAAGCGTTCATTTTAAGCCAATGTACAATATGTTGATTCTAAAAATAGAGCAAAATCTTTGTTATCCTCACTTTCAGTTTAAAAATTAGGGAAGAAAAGTTTTTGGAGTAAAAATCTCCATCTAGTTAAAAGCATATTTCCCCAACTTGTAGTTCTCTTGCTTTATTCTGCAAGACCACATGTAAATGGAAGAGTGGGATTTACTAGCATACATTACCAGTGTTTGAAGATTGCCTGAAAGAGCATTCCTTTAACAGATGTGAAAAAAATGACTCATATTCTGGCGCTAGATTCAGAGGTCCTGGCTTCTGTAGCTTTCTGGTTGTGAAAGCACTGTGTGAGGTCAGGACTTGGTCATAGAGCTGTGCCATTTCTGAGGCCCTAGAACTGCCTTTTCTGGATGTTTTTATGGGAATTAACCTCCATTGGATCTCATCAAAAATTTTCCTAACATTGTGTAAGAAGAGCAGTGTGGGGTAGCAAAACCAGATTAAAATATTTTGCATAACTTTCTATGAAATATACCAGTACATCATGAGTACACTCAATGAAGAACAAGAGATATGTCTGCTGCACCAAATAAATGTAATTTATTAGGCCTTAGTATAGTATTCCTCTTTTATGGGAAGTGCAGTTTGAAGGATGGTAGAGTAGAGGAGGTGAACGCGTCTGAGAAGTATAGATAGTTCTTCCCAGGCTTTGGCAGCACTGAGTCCTGGAGTGTGGGATCGAATACTTGCTGAAGGTCAAGCCCAATGCAAATTGGTTTTCCCATTTCTTGAGTCAAATTTGTATTTTGGCAGCCTCAGTCGGGAGATCAGGTCTGCGAGGCTCAAGTATTTGCTAACTCCCACAACAAAAGTCAAATAAAAGTTCCAGAACTTGTTAGTGGTCCAGGAATGGTTGAAGAAATAATTAGTTCATGGATTGAGTTGGAAGTTGAAACTTCAGGTTGAAAATCATTAACTTGGCTTTTTAGCAGGTGGGCTCACAGCAGTAGCAGCAGCAGGCTGGGCGGCAGCAGGACTGTCCACAGTAGGATGGGCGGCAGCAGGCAGCCTGGGCATGGTGCAGCTGGCAGCAGGTTGGGGGTGTGCAGCTCACCACACAGCAGGGGGGCAGGCAGGTGTCCTCCACGCGGCAGTCAGGGCGGCACCACCTGGTGCGGCAGCTCACACCTCCACAGCCACAATCCTGGCCACAGCCAGTGCCACAGCCGGTCCCACAGCAGCTGGTCTGGCAGCAGGTTGGCTGGCAGCAGCTGGTCTGGCAGCAGGTTGGCTGGCAACAGCTGGTCTGGCAGCAGGTTGGCTGGCAGCAGCTGGGGCCACAGGTCCCACAGGAGCAGCTGGGAAATCCACAGAAGCTAGTTTGACAGCAGGCCATGGTGTCAGGAGTTGGATTGAGAGGTGGGTTGCTTGGAGAAATTTTTTAGGTTTGGTGATAGCTTCTACATTGGGCCTTATATAAGCCTTGGCCAGCTATTATTTACATAATTCCCAAAGTCTCTTCCTTGTTTGTGTTTAAATAACTTGTTTCTGAATGATAATTGCCCTGTCCCTGAGTTATTTGTGCAACCTTCTGAAAGCCTTTAAAGGTTTATTTTATTTGGTCTTCAATTAGTATTCTTTACCATGGCCCAGTAGTCATTAGCGTTCACTGAGTACATAACCCCTAATTTCTCATATTCGTTACAATCTGCTCATTGCCCAAAGAATAATTGGCTGATGCCTCACCTTTAAGGAGTGTCAATATTACTCAATGTTGACCCTAATAATTGAGCTCTTGGGTCTCACATGACAGTTTGATGCTCAGCCACGTGGCCTCCAATGTCGACAGCTGCCCCTTCCCTACCCTTTCTTTTCTTCACTTTGCCAGAGCAGCAGAGTGATTCAGCGGCCAGAACGGGATGCTTTCATCGGGGGCTGGGAAATATGGATGAGTTGGTACTGAAAACATTTTTGAAACACTTATGTGTCCAAACAGTTCTGAGTACTTTGCTTGCATCAATTCATTTAATTTTCACAGCAACCCTACAGGGTAGGTATCATTGCTTTTATACCATTTCTATGAGGACAGTGAGCCACAAACAGATTTAAGTCATTCACCCAAGTTCACACTAACAAATGGTGAATCTAAAATTTGAACCATGCCATCTAACTCCAGACTAAACTTTCAATCATTACAGTCTTTTCCATGTAAGCAGGTGTTCTAGGGAAAACCAATGGAAATTTGCCCTATTTCTTACAGGCTTTTGGAGAGTAGAGGGAGGAAAGACAGTTTAGCATGAGTAATAACTCTGCGATTAGAGATTTCTCTGGAGATTTTATTTAATTTAACTTTTTTTATTGATTTCAGAAAGGAAGGGGGATGGAGGGAGTGATAGAAATATCAATGATGAGAGAGAATCATTGATCAGCAGCCCCCTGCACACCCTCTACAGGGGATCAAGCCCACAATCCGGGCATATGCCCTGACCAGGAATCAAACTGTGACGTCCTGGGTCATAGGTCAATGCACAACCACTGAGCCACGCCATCTGGGCAGGAGATTTTATTTTTAAAAACTATATAATAGGTATACTTCAAGAAAATCTTCAGTGCTGAAAGAGTTAACGTGACTTGTGACTTCATCCAATCTTTAATTTTAGGCTCTTCTGTAGATTTAATTGTTCTTTTCTTAAAATTGAGATATGATTGACATATAATATTGTATTAGTTTTAAGTGTACAACATGATGATTTGATATCCTATATAATAAAATGCTAATATGCAAATTGTCCCCTTGAGTGGGAGTTCAACCAGGGGGAGGGGCTGGCTGGCCAACCACCCATGGTTCCTCCCCCAGGCCGGCTAGGCCTGATCAGCCTGATTGGGGTGGGCTGGCCAGACCCCACCCGTGCACGAATTCGTGCACCAGGCCTCTAGTATGTATATATTGTGAAATGATCACCATAGTAAGTTAAGATCCATCACCACACATAGTTACAATTTTTTTCTGTGCTGAGAATAAATGCTCTTAACTGCATAAAAATCACACTCTTAATATATTAAAACTGGAGTATGTGGCGTACTGTGGTGTATTAGACCTAGAGTATGCAGTTTACTGTAGTTGCTAGAGACAAATCCAGTGCCACATAGGGGGTTTGAATCAAAATGGCAAGTGTTAGTTCTGTTTCTCTAGAAATGACAGCTTTGAATTCAGATCATAACTCTTCCCAGGTGAATTAAGACATTTTCAAATTCCACATCAAATGTGAATTGAAAGGTATGGTTCTTTGTGAATATTTTTGCTTCTTCTCCTTTAGCAAATTTGTATAACTGATTCTTTGATTAGCTAATATTTCCACGTTGGATGTTTTAAATATGTGGATTTCTCGTTACTACCATCTCAGGAGCTAATTTATACCTAAATTTAGCGGAATCTTTGATACTAAAATGATTTACCTTCCCTTGCACACATTTCAGATGTTTGAAGAGTTAAAATTCATATTGACAAGGGCACTGGCGACAGAGTAGCATTATATATTATATTTCCATTTCTGTGCTTCTCTACCATGGCATTGCTTTCAACACCTTTCTCACTGCAAAATTTAACTCAGTTTTCATGTTGCTAATCCTTAGTTGCCCTTAGAGAATTATTAAGAATAAGATGTTTTAGTCAGGATTCTCCAGGGAAAGAGAACCAACAAGATACATAAATTTAGGAGTGGGCAAAAGCAGGTTGTGAGTGACATTTTTTTGAGTTAATAAAGCTATTATAGTAATCATAACTGGAATGTCTTTTTCCATATGAACAACTGTAAACCTACTTTTGCCCACCCCTGTACATATTAGTGAAAATATATGTATTTATTATGCGGGATTGGCTCATACAACTATGGAGGCTGAGAAGTCCCACTAGGAGCACTGATCTGAGGGCAGAAGAAGACAGATGTCCCAACTCGAGTAAGAGAGCAAATTTGCCCTTCTGCCTTTTTTGTTTTATTTGGGCCCTCAGTGGATTAATTGATGACTGGCTGTGTTGGTGAGGGTGGTTCATCTTTTTTACTCAGTCTGCAGGCCAAATGCTAATCTCTTCTGAAAACGCCCTCACAGGCACACCCAGAAATAACGTTATCTGCTTATCCCTTAGCCCAATCAACTTGAGACATAAAATTAACCATCACATAATGTATGATGCTTAAAATTTGACAATTTTACCTCTCTGCCACAGAATGAAGACTAATCTGAACATTCCCTTACATTTCCTAATAAAGAAAGAAAATCAGGATTTTTGTCTTACCACTTACATCCATCGATTCCTGATTGGTTCTCATACAAATAGAGTAAGAAGTTTAATCATTTGTGGTCTCCCCTGTGTAGATTTTCTATTCTGTTTCAATGCTGGATACTCTATTGCTGGTCTTTTTTTGGGGGGAGGGGAATACCAGCTTACACTTAAAGCTTTTTAAAATTATTATGCCCGTTCCTTTTGATTTTAATTATTTCATTTAAGTTATGGTGCCCAGAGAATTCCAGAACTATAAGAAGAGAGGATGTTATTCTCAAATTTTTATAGATACTAATATATTGAATTATTTTTCTTTAAGATGTCAGGGTTCCATTTTCTAGTTATAAGTTTTGGTTATTCTTTCAATTTCTTAAGCTCCATTTAATCAGTTCTCTGCATCAGCTGCAGCTGCCATCCTTAAATGCCTGAGAGGTAAGACATGGTTGATGCACCAAACAAATGAACACACTCAACTTTTTATCCTAAATCATGTAATTAGATTTTTCTCTTTTCTCCTGAATTCCAACCTGGCTCATTTTGGTGTTTCTGAGTTGAAGCCATTGTAAGTAAAAGATGCATCTAGTCTAAATCATCCCAACGTGATGGGAGACAGGAGAGTGGTAGAGGAGGGAATAGAGGTGTTGTATATGCATGTGTAGGTTGTGCCCTGATGGGGTGTTATGTTCACTTAGAGCAGTGGTTCTCAACCTTCTGGCCCTTTAAATACAGTTCCTCATGTTGTGACCCAACCATAAAATTATTTTCGTTGCTACTTCATAACTGTAATGTTGCTACTGTTATGAATCGTAATGTAAATATCTGATATGCAGGATGGTCTTAGGTGACCCCTGTGAAAGGGTCATTCGACCGCCAAAGGGGTCGCGACCCACAGGTTGAGAACCGCTGACTTAGAGGAAGGAGAACCTTATTCTTCACACAAAGAGCTGTAGGCTCAACAAGCTGCGTAATTCTTGTAATGTTGTGCTAGTGGAGAATTCTATCTCTTTGACTTTTTAAAACATTGAGGTGAAATTCTTTTAATCATATATTTTGGCTGCAGAATATTGGACCACTTAATGGCAAAACAAAGAAAACCCACCTTTTAAAAGACCATTATTGAAGGCATAGTAATGAAAACCCACAGTGCTATGCCACATTTATTGAGATATTTGAAAATCCCAGTATCAATAACAAGTTTAAAAGAAAAGAACTCTTCAACAATGACTTCATCACTGAAGAATGAAAATTTTTATTAAATTCCAAACCCAATGAGCTGTTGAAATATTTCAGGAGATATTGATGGTAATCCATCATGCCCTCTTTTCAGATTGTAGGACTCCGGTTGATATCCAGGTCTATGAAATACTTTGGTCTTCTGTTATACATTACTTTACATCTTAGGGAAATTATGCAGCTTCGTGACAAGAGGTTGCAAGCTGGGTTATGAGTATTTAGAGTTCAGAAGTTTGTTGAGACTCTAACATTGGTTAGTTTGGATGTGCCATTTTCTCAGGATTCCCATCAGAAGGAGGTTTTTCAGCAGGTGGGCTCACAGCAGTAGCAGCAGCAGGCTGGGCGGCAGCAGGACTGTCCACAGTAGGATGGGCGGCAGGCGGCCTGCTGGGCATGGTGCAGCTGGCAGCAGGTTGGGGGTGTGCAGCTCACCACACAGCAGGGGGGCAGGCAGGTGTCCTCCACGCGGCAGTCAGGGCGGCACCACCTGGTGCGGCAGCTCACACCTCCACAGCCACAATCCTGGCCACAGCCAGTGCCACAGCCGGTCCCACAGCAGCTGGTCTGGCAGCAGGTTGGCTGGCAGCAGCTGGTCTGGCAGCAGGTTGGCTGGCAGCAGCTGGGGCCACAGGTCCCACAGGAGCAGCTGGGAAATCCACAGAAGCTAGTTTGACAGCAGGCCATGGTGTCAGGAGTTGGGTTGAGAGATGGGTTGTTCGGAGGAGTTTCTGAGTTAAGGCTGCTTGTTCCACTGGGGCCTTTTATAGGCTTTGGCCAGTTCTGTGTCATGGATAGCATTTTTATCTTGTTACTCTTCAAACAAGCTTTCCCAGGGCCCTCTGATTATTCAAATACTGAGTTATTTTAAATATATGTTCAAATTGGTTTTCCTTATTGCTGAGCTGGTAGTACTCACCAAATGTGTCCAGTGGACCTTGGTAGAGTTGTTTTTTTGTTTTGTTTTGTTTCCAAACAATGCTGTAATTATTACTTGACAAAGTGACTCTCATTCACCAAAACTCAAGTCTTCAGGAAAAAAAAAATTTAGCCGTTGACTGTTATTGTTAACCGTTGCCTTTGTGTAAGGCTATCTTTTTTCCCCCCTAAATATATATTTTTAATTAATTTCAGAGAGGAAAGGAGAGGGAGAGAGAGATAGAAACATCAATGGTGAGACAGAATCATTGATCGGCTGCCTCCTGCATGTCCCGCAGTGGGGATTGAGCCTGCAATCCCAGCCATGTGTCCTGACTGGGAATCGAACTGTGACCTCCTAATTCATAGGTCGATGCACAGCCACTGAGCCATGCTGGCCGGGCTATGTAAGGCTGTCTTTATATTTGTTTAGAGTAATAAGATGTCAGTCTCTACAATCACCCACATAGAAACTCTGATAAACTCCACTTCATAGAAATTCATAGATCTTTCTAGAAATTGGATCTTTCCAATTTCTATGCTCTCTCCTGAACTTCAGCCTTGAGGAAATATTTATCACTCAGGAGGATATATGGAACAAAACCTGTTCCATTCCAATTTACTATGGATATTTTGTTATCAAAAATTTAAAATAAGGGCTAAAATTCATATCTAGTAATTAGGAAAAAAATCACAAAAATTTTTAAGTGTAATTTATATTTCTATGAAACATAAAAATCATTGCTATACAGTTTATCTGGATAGTATTGATTTCTCAGAGGTGGGATTCATGTCAGTTTATGCCATTTTATTCAGCTACACCTTGTGTCTTATGGAAGAATATCAGACCAAAGAGCAAAACAATTTAATTTATAAGGGCGAACCAATAAAAGAAATAGCAGGAACTTGGAAATACTTTTTCTGGATCACAGTGCTTATAAGGCAGGACAGGAATTGGATGATCAAATATTGTTTAATATGTGCAAAGTAAAATGGAAACAATTCCTGGTAGTTGCTAAAAGAAAAAAAAAATGATGTTTATGGTTACAGGGGGAGAAATGAAAAAAAGTTATGGCCAAAAGAACATAGTGTTGCTACTTATGGCAGGCTTATTCCTTCCTTCCAATCATGAGTAGAAGTACATAGTTAGCTTTTATGGGGTAAAGGTATTGGTTAGTACAAGGATAGAATTAAAAAGTGATTCATGCCAGTGTCAATAAAGATGTTCATGTCATGATAACCATGACTGTAGGTATGAAGTTGAAAATGGTTAAATGGAATCATTACATATTAGAGATCAAAACCTTAATAAATCATGTTCAACCATTTAATTTTATAGGTACAGAAACTGACATCATTCTTTTTATAAATAGCACATGTTTATTAAATCCTATTATGTATGAGGTACTAAAAGGTTATGTAGAAAGCAAAACCTAATCTGCTTGCCTCACATTTTTCTCTAGTGCACAAATCAGTATAGTATTGATAGGAAGGATTAATCAAGGAAAAGAGTCAAATAGAGACCCATTTAATCTCAAAGTTCTAAATTGGGACATTGGTGCTAATGTTATGAACTACTTTTAATTCCCTCTGAACACCAGTTGATGTTAAAATACCATTGAGTCTAGGAATGGCTGCATTTTGGAGAGGTTATTGACTTGCTACATTCACATAGCCAGTACGTAGCCACATTCACATAAGCAGTACATAGCCAGAAGAGCTGGGTATAAAACGCTTATCTTTCCCTTCTAAATCTGTTCATTTTATTTTCTGCTGCTGTCCAGAATTAGAGTTAGTAAAATTCGTTGTCTTCTGTTTTAAAAATATTTTACAATAGCTCAAGAATGTGAATATTACTGGAAGGCAAAATACATGGTGGAGTAGTGATTTTAAACACACAGTAAATGAGCATAAATATGTTAACATTCTTTCAGGTGTCTGCTGATCAAAAGAGTTCCCTCTAGAACTGCAATAAATCACATTTGCTTCCTAATTGTTTCTTATTTCCCACATTGAGACTAGCTAAGAGTTTCTAGGTCTGCCATCCTCTTTGTCTTCTTTATTCTGTTGCCATCATCTTAGTTCAGCTCTCAATTTGTTCCTGTATAGTCATCATATGTATAGCCTGTGGTCTTCTGTTTTTATAAGCAGTGACCATAGGAACTGCCCCAACGTCAAACTCCTGTCGTGCCATTCCCCTGCCTCAAGGCTTTCAACAGCTCCTTAGTGCTTACTGCCCTAAGGGTGTACTCATTTGGTTAATATTCAAAGCACACAAATTATCCAAATTTACCTTCCACTGTTAGTCTACATATATCCAGTGCTCCCAGGCAACTCTCCTGTGAACAACCTGTCTATACCTTTGTGCATACTGTTTCCATAGTTGAGAATGCCATCTTCCCTTAGAACTGTACCCCAAAATCTTAACACTTATAAAATGCTGGGTTCTCCTTCCAGTCTTTCTTGTTCTCCAATAGTGACTTCTTGTTGATACCAAACAGGGTGTTGTACTTTGTTTTTTTTTTTTCATATTCTAATTTTTAGTTGAGTGATTATTAATTTGATTCACCTTTCTGGAACTTTCTTGAAGAGGGGAACATTTTAAAGTCAATTTTACTTTCTATTATATACCATACCGTGTGTAACTTGCAGATGGTAGTCAATCAGCACATTTATTAAAATTTAATGAACAAAATTAGAATGAATAAGTAAAACCAAAGCCGTGATTGCTAGGCCAAAGAAGAGAAGTTTATTAGAAACCAAACATGCCAGAAAGACCTGAGATCTAGGATGGAAAGAAAGAAGTTGCTACTAATAGAAAGACTTGAGAACAGCCCAAATCTTAATATTCGAGTTTGGATCTCCATGCAACTTCTGGCTGACTTGAGGTCTTAATGGCTCAGGGCAGGAGTTTTGTTGGGTAGGGAAGGTTGATTGCTTGCTCTAGGCAGCTCAGCAGCAGCAGGAGGGGCAGGTCGTGCAGGTGGTGCGGCAGGGGGCAGGCTGGCAGCAGGGGGGCCGGCAGCAGGGCGCCTGCACACAGATGGGCTGGCAGCAGGTGGAGGCCCAGCAGCAGGGGCGGCAGACAATAGCCGTGCAGGATGTGGGGCAGCAGGTGATGGGGCAGCAGCAACCCTCCTGCAGGCCACAGGGCTCACAGCAGATACGGTGGCGACAGAACACAGCCGTGCAGGATATGGGGCAGCAGGCAATAGGCTGGCAGCAGCCCTCCTGCAGGCCACAGGGGTCACAGCAGATACGGTGGCGACAGAACACAGCCGTGCAGGATATGGGGCAGCAGGCAATAGGCTGGCAGCAGCCCTCCTGCAGGCCACAGGGGTCACAGCAGATACGGTGGCGACAGAACACAGCCGTGCAGGATATGGGGCAGCAGGCAATAGGCTGGCAGCAGCCCTCCTGCAGGCCACAGGGGTCACAGCAGATACGGTGGCGACAGAACACAGCCGTGCAGGATATGGGGCAGCAGGCAATAGGCTGGCAGCAGCCCTCCTGCAGGCCACAGGGGTCACAGCAGATACGGTGGCGACAGAACACAGCCGTGCAGGATATGGGGCAGCAGGCAATAGGCTGGCAGCAGCCCTCCTGCAGGCCACAGGGGTCACAGCAGATACGGTGGCGACAGAACACAGCCGTGCAGGATATGGGGCAGCAGGCAATAGGCTGGCAGCAGCCCTCCTGCAGGCCACAGGGGTCACAGCAGATACGGTGGCGACAGAACACAGCCGTGCAGGATATGGGGCAGCAGGCAATAGGCTGGCAGCAGCCCTCCTGCAGGCCACAGGGGTCACAGCAGATACGGTGGCGACAGAACACAGCCGTGCAGGATATGGGGCAGCAGGCAATAGGCTGGCAGCAGCCCTCCTGCAGGCCACAGGGGTCACAGCAGATACGGTGGCGACAGAACACAGCCGTGCAGGATATGGGGCAGCAGGCAATAGGCTGGCAGCAGCCCTCCTGCAGGCCACAGGGGTCACAGCAGATACGGTGGCGACAGAACACAGCCGTGCAGGATATGGGGCAGCAGGCAATAGGCTGGCAGCAGCCCTCCTGCAGGCCACAGGGGTCACAGCAGATACGGTGGCGACAGAACACAGCCGTGCAGGATATGGGGCAGCAGGCAATAGGCTGGCAGCAGCCCTCCTGCAGGCCACAGGGGTCACAGCAGATACGGTGGCGACAGAACACAGCCGTGCAGGATATGGGGCAGCAGGCAATAGGCTGGCAGCAGCCCTCCTGCAGGCCACAGGGGTCACAGCAGATACGGTGGCGACAGAACACAGCCGTGCAGGATATGGGGCAGCAGGCAATAGGCTGGCAGCAGCCCTCCTGCAGGCCACAGGGGTCACAGCAGATGGGGCGGCGGCAGGGCTCACAGATGGGGCGTGTGCAGCGGGTCACACAGGTCACAGGGCGGCACACGGTGGTCTGGCAGCAGCAGGGGCGGCAGCAGCAGGGGTCTCGGCAGCAGCAGGGCTGGCAGCAGCAGGGCTGGCAGCAGCCTCCCCCACAGCCGGAGCAGGTGGAGCCACAGCAGGAGCTGGTCATGGTGGTGTCTGGGGCTGGGCTGGGTTGGACTGGTGAGAGGAGTAGGGTGTTCTCAGGTGTGAATGTCTTCCTCCCCTGCGGGGTCCTTTATATACCCTGGCCTGGTGCTGATGACCCCTCTTGTTTATCTTTTGGCCAATTAAGTAGAAGTTGTTTTGACTAATGGTTGCATTGCTCATGACAGACTCATGATCTCATTAAAGAACTATTTTTGTACATTAAATATTGGTATATTCATGCTGTTTATCATCAAAATTTAAACAGTCACAGTCGTTTCAGGTGATAGCAACTCTTGATGCTCATTTTGAGTAGATAGCGCCTGATGAATCCTGGACAAATGGCTCTGTAGGAATTGTAATTTTTAAAAGAAATTAAACGTAATATAGGGGTGTATAGAACAATGACTAGATCCTAACCTTGACCCTCAAGAGCTCTCTGAAAAGCCTTCATGTTAATCACACAGGTATTGCACATGTCCTTCCTTGGAACTACATATTACTTGCTATAATGGAATGTATATGTACTTTGAATAAGACTTCAGCTCATATACTTGTATGGGAAGTGCAAAACTTTGTTTTTGTAAACCACGTAAGTATTGGAATAAAGCATCCAAGGCTGCCATCTATTTTTTATCTCTTTTCTCCAGTTCATGCTGTGCATATCTCTGGTCCTTCTGATCACAGAAAGCTGATCATGAGACATGGCATTTTAAAAAATATGTATATATATTTTTTTATTTCAGAGAGGAAGGGAGAGGGAGAGATAGAAACATCAGTGATGAGAGAATCATTGATCGGCTGCCTCCTTCACGCCCCTTGCTGGAGATCAAGCCTGCAACCTGGGCATGTGGGGAATCAAACCGTGACCTCCTGTTTCATAGATTGACGCTCACCACTGAGCTATACCAGCGGGGCAAGAGATATGGCATTTCTTTATACTTGGTTTTCTTGTGTATGTGATCAAGAATGATGTCATGAGAAGCTTTTTCTTAATTTACCTGCACGTGGTGCTATGACTAAGAAGTGACAAGATGGGGGTTTCCCACCAGCAATGCAAACATGTGCAATACCTTATTCAGAGGCATTGCCTTGGGAGGCCACACAGCTGCTCTGCGATGGCTCTGCTAGACATGTGATGGACATGCTTCTCCTGGAGGCAGAGGCAGAGGCAGTGAGGAATTGCCTGGAAACAATCTCATTACTTTTCTGTGTCACCCCTCCTATTATTCACTAGCCAGGGTTTGGGATCACTTCAGCATCTTTCTCGTTATTCAAAAGAATGTGCCTTGGGCCCCAGGAGCTAAAGCTCCCTAAATGGAATTTCAAACATAATTTCAAAACTTTGAAAGGAATGTAAAATGACTAAACATATAGTCACCCCTGGGGAAAACAGAGGCGGGAGAAGTCAAGCGGTCTCATCAGTGAAGACCTTTGCGTCACTCACATGTCACATTCTTTCTCTTGTCCATAGACACACGTGATTTTTTCAAAGCAGTAACCAGGGCCTGGATCAGTGATGGCGAACCTTTTGAGCTCGGCGTGTCAGCATTTTGAAAAACCCTAACTTAACTCTGGTGCCGTGTCACATATAGAAATTTTTTGATATTTGCAACCATAGTAAAAAAAGATTTATATTTTTGATATTTATTTTATATCTTTAAATGCCATTTAACAAAGAAAAATGAACCAAAAAAATGAGTTCGCGTGTCACCTCTGACACGCGTGTCATAGGTTCTCCATCACTGGCCTAGATAAAAACATGTATATTCTGCTCTTCCCTCCCCCCAGGTTTATTAAGGTATAATTGATCTATAACATTGCATAAGTAAGTTGTATATTGTGACGACTTGACACATACATGTTGCAGAATGTTCACTCCAGTAAGGTTAATTAACATATTCGTCACCTCACATGATTATTTTGTTGTGGTGGTGGTGGTGAGAACATCAAAGCTCTGCTTTCATAGCAACTTTCAGGTATACAGTATAGTATTGTTAACTACATTGTATTGTATGCTGTACATGTCGATCCCCGAACTTACTCATCTTATAACTGAAAGTTTGTGTCCTTTGGCCAGCATCTCCCCATCTCTCCTACACCTCAGCCCCTGGCAACCACCTTTCTGTGCTCTGTTCCCATGAGTTCTATGATTTTGGTTACACATATAATGCCATTACTGCCCAAAGTTCAGAGATAAGCAGCCCTTGGGAGTTGGTGTGGATTTACAATCCACAAGAGTCAGCACTGTGAATAACATTCTAATTAATAATCAGATCATTAACATCGCAGGGAATGCATTGTCCAGGTGCAGTTACGCTTGGTCACAGAAGATGGGAGAGCTCCTCTGGGCAGAGGAACTACACTAAAGGGCTTATCGGACTTAAAGGCTTGTTGTCGGGGGGCTTGCCTCTCCTGGGTCTTTTCTGAGCCTTGGTGATTATAATTACACTGGGGGCCTGGTGCACAAAATTCATGCACAGGTAGGGTCCCTAGGCCTGGCTGGCAATCAGGGCCGATCTCTGGGGCGACCGGCGGGGTGATTGGGGGCCCCCCACTGGCACCCGCCTTGGCCACATTGGGGCCTGTGGGCTGGGGGCAGCTCCTGCATTGAGAGTCTGCTCCCTGGTGGTCAGTACGCGTCATAGCAACCCGGCGTCACAGCGACCAGGCGTTCTGCCGTTCAGTTAATTTGCATATTAGGCTTTTATTATATAGGATTAAAATTATATTAGTCAGAATTTATTTAATCTCTCATTGCTCCTCAGCTTCAAAACCAGATGATTGGCCAGGTGTCACCTAAGATTCCTTTTACCTCTAAGGTACTGGGCTTTCTATGCTGTGCTAACAGGTGCCAGGTCAGTGAAAGAACCTTCGGACTGGGACTCCATATGTCAGACAAGAGCAGCCTCCTTACTGATCATTCGGAAGGTGTTTTGTGTGTCTGAATAATGAGCACAAGTAACTCTATACGTGATGAAAATATAGCCATGTCCACCTTCCTCATCAGCTCCTGGGCCTTATAAATGCCGTTTACAGGGATAACAAGGAAACTAAGCAGACGTAGATTATTGCATAAAACAATGTAAGAGGCTTATTTGGCATCTTGTTTTGAAGTTCACTGGTCAAAACAGAGAGACAGAAATCCACTGAAAGGAAATATCACAAAGACCATGATTCCTATGCTGTGAGCACAAGGTTTATTAGAAAACAGACACCATGATTTGGAGCTAGACCAGGATCTTGAGAAGACAGGGTGCTCTTCTTTGGTAGTTAGCCTGGAAAGGTGTCCCCAGTGTCTCTATGAGAAATGGTCTTCTCAAGAAAAGCCACGTTGATCTGCAGTGAAGGTAAGGGACAGCAGGATGGACCCGGCCATCTACTGACAGGCCTTAGGGATGATGCACTGCTCAGCAGCAGGAGGGGCAGGTCCTGCAGGTGGTGCGGCAGGGGGCAGGCTGGCAGCAGGGGGGCCGGCAGCAGGGCGCCTGCACACAGATGGGCTGGCAGCAGGTGGAGGCCCAGCAGCAGGGGCGGCAGACAATAGCCGTGCAGGATGTGGGGCAGCAGGTGATGGGGCAGCAGCAACCCTCCTGCAGGCCACAGGGGTCACAGCAGATACGGTGGCGACAGAACACAGCCGTGCAGGATATGGGGCAGCAGGCAATAGGCTGGCAGCAGCCCTCCTGCAGGCCACAGGGGTCACAGCAGATGGGGCGGCGGCAGGGCTCGCAGATGGGGCGTGTGCAGCGGGTCACACAGGTCACAGGGCGGCACACGGTGGTCTGGCAGCAGCAGGGGCGGCAGCAGCAGGGGTCTCGGCAGCAGCAGGGCTGGCAGCAGCAGGGCTGGCAGCAGCCTCCCCCACAGCCGGAGCAGGTGGAGCCACAGCAGGAGCTGGTCATGGTGGTGTCTGGGGCTGGGCTGGGTTGGACTGGTGAGAGGAGTTGGGTGTTCTCAGGTGTGAATGTCTTCCACCCCTTCAGGACCCTTTATATACCCTGGCCTGGTGCTGATGACCTCCAGGACATAGGGTTATTTCCTTGTTTTTGTTTATTTATTTTGAAATGGCACTGATAGGCTAGTAAATTCTTTAGACACTGTTTTTGGTGCTCAGGTACTCATAAAAGACTGCTTGTTTTCCTTTTTTAGTCAAGACTCATTATATTTTGCTATTTATGGTTCAAATCTGAACTTAATGACATTAACTTCAAAGTCTCCAATTATCTTTATAATTTAGCGATGCTTTTACCAATTGGTGTTTTGATAGCACAAAAGTAGCTGTCGTGCTCTTAGGGTTACTTACTGAGCATGGAAGTGGGTTCCCCAAGTTGAGTGTCCTTTTGCACTGCTAAGCCTCCTGGGCAAAACAAGTTCAGAAAAATACTAAGGAATGTTTTTAAAGTCATGGTTTGTCAGGAAAAGAAGAATTTTTCAGTCTATGTTTTGGAGCTACAGAAATGCATCTTCATAAACTTCTATCATCAATGTTTCTTTTTATTCCATTTTTTAAAAATATTTGGTAAAATCCATGTGACATAAAATTGACTCTCTTTGCCATTTTTGTGTATACAGTTCAGTGGCATTAAATACATTCATATTATTGTGTAATCATTACCACCATCCATCTGCAGAACTCTTTCATCTTGTAAACTAAAACTCTACCCTTAAACACCAACTGTCTTGTACTTGGCAACCACCATTGTACTTTCTTTAAAAAAATTATCTTCTCTTTCCCTTCAAACCCAGTCTATGGTAACCACCGTTCCCTCCTATGAATTTGGTTTTTTTAGTCTTAAATTACATGCTCATTGATTTTCATAATTATATATTCCCATACCAAGGTGAATTTCATTATTTATAACCTTCATGCTAGCCACTGTCACTGAGTCTAATTCTGTTCCAAACATTATGCAAAAGCAATAAAGGCATTTACTTTATTCTTTGTGCAATCCTATGAGGTAGGTATTATTATAGTCCTCATTTTACACATAAAGAACTCGA